AAACATTGGTATGATAAGTAGGAATAGATAGAATTACATGTTTTACCAGTGTAATTCTTCCCGCCAAAGAGATGAATCTAGTACCCCAGTTGTTAAACATCTTCAATGCCTTCTCCAGTATGAAATGAAAATCTGATTTAGACATTCTTTTTAAAGCCAGTTTTGTTCCCAAATAATTGAATTCCTTTATTTCTTTGAACTTAAAGATATTTTTGATTTTCCTTCTCTTTGATCTAGAGACTGCTTTGCCAAATAGCATTACTGATTTGCTAATGTTAACTTTTTGGCCTATCCACCCACAATAATCATTCACAATGCCTTTAATAGTTCTCATATTTTTAAGTTTGGCTTCAGAGAAAAAAATAATGTCATCAGCAAGTAAAAGATGAGAAATCCTTGGGCTGTTAGTGCTAATTCGAACTCCAAAATCATCATTCCGTTTAATAGCATTTGAAAGAATTTGGGAACATAAAATGAATAGGTAAGGGGACAAGGGACACCCTTGTCTAAATCCATAATTAGCTTTGATCCAGATAGAAGGTTTACCATTAATTAAAATAGAGAATTCCGGGTTTAGCACACAATCAAGAATAAGATCAGAAAAGAATACCGGAAATCCAGAGTAAGAGAGAATTTTTTGAAGAGTAGGCCAACCCATAGAATCTTATGCTTGTTCCACATCTAATTTGATAAAAACAAGACCTTTAGTGTCTTTCAAAAATCTGAATTTGTGAATGATTTCGTGTGCTATAAGAATATGATCTTGCATAGACCTCCCTCTAACGAAAGCAGCTTGTTCAACTGAAATGAGTTTCGGGATAATGAATTTCATTCTACTGAGAATGACTTTAGAGGCAATTTTATACACAGTATTGCAAAGACTTATTGGCCTATAATTATTAGCAAAGATAGGATTGTTATTTTTGGGAATCAAAACAATCAAAGTTTTTTTCCAATCCTTGTCCATAACAGCATTTTCAAAAAAGTTCTTCAAAGCTTCCCAGACTTCATTCTTGATAATACCCCAATAATTTTTAAGAAAGGAGTAGGAGATACCATCAATTCTTGGAGATGAACCTCCTGAAGATTCTTTGAATGTTGTTTCAACTTCTTCAAAACAAAATTCTTTACTTAATTGCTCCTTATCTTCATCGTTCAGCACAGAATTATTGTCCGGCCATCCTTCCAGATTGCACTTCCTTTTAAGAGGATATTAGTTGTAGAGGAGTTTATCCATGTTAAATTTGATGAATGTAATAAATTAATTGAGCTTATGTTTTGAGATGTTAAAAAAGTATAGGTTTTATAATAAATTATCTATTAACATTGCTACTAGAGAAGAACCACTGGATCAATTTCCTAGAGGCTGGAGATACTCATCTAGTCACCATAGGCAGCTCATTTTAGGATTTCCTTATATAAGAGTTAAAACTAGGCATGGACTTAAGAAGGAGGTTATCCATTCTGAATTCATCACTATGCTGGATCCTAAGAATATAGACTCTGCCTTATCGGATGAATTATGGATCCTGCCTATTTAAGAAGACTTAACAATTTCATTAGGAATAATGCATGGGAGTTGGTTAGTAAACCTAAGTAATATAATGTAGTGTGTACCAGGTGCATATTAAAGAATTAGATGAATGTTCTTGAGTATTGGTTAGGAATAAGGCCATACTAGTAGCTAAGAGGTACATTCTAATTAAAGGCAATGTATTTGAAGAGGGCTTTTCCAATGTAGTTAGAAAAGAAGGCATCAGATTATTGTTAACATTTTCTTATTTTATAAGCATCAAGTTATATGAATTTGGTGTAAAGATTGGTTTATAAATGGGGTTATAAAGGAGGATAAACAACCCATGAATTTGATAATTCAACTGTTCCCATTCATGTGTACAAATTTAAAAAGGGTTTAAATGGACTGAAGCAAGCACCTAGGGCTTGGTATGAAAGGTTTAGTACATTTCTCCTAAATAAATCCTTTATTAAGGTTAGTGTTGATAAAACTTTATTTCTAAAAACAAGTAGAAGAATTTATTATTACTCAAATATATGTGGATAATATATCATTTTGATCAACAAACGGAAACTTATTAATGAATTTCTAGAAGCTATGAGTAAAGAGTTTAAAATGATAGGATGGGAGTGCTAAAATATTCTCTTGAATTTAGTGTGATGCAAAGGGACGATCATATATTTCTCATTTGTATCATGTATACTAAGGAAATTTTAAATAATTTTTTTATAAAAGTCTTTAAGGTAATAAATACTCCAATGAGCTCTACCTTTCAATTAGATAAGGAAGCAAATAGAAAAATTAGCAGATCCAAAAAACATTTAGGGGAATAGTAGGATCAGTTTTGTTATTGACTACAAGTAGACCACATATATTGTTTACAAAATATATGTGTTAGAGTCCAAGCCAATTCCAAAGAATCCCATAAGATTATAGTTAAGAGAATTCAAATATACCATATGGACACTTAAAACTTTGGTATATAGTATCCTAGAAATAGATCTTCATTTGTAAGTATATCATATTTATATTTAGACTTATAGGGTGTCAAAAAGATAAAGAAAATACTTTTTGAACTTATTAATTCATAGGAATATCATTAGTTTCTTATTCCTAGTAGAAAGTAATAATCAAAAGCCTTATCAACAAATGAGGCAGAATCTATTATTATAGGAGTTTTGTTGCTTAAACCATATGTTTAAAGCAAAAAATCTTAGACCTTGGGACTTTTTTAAGGTACCATTCCAATCATGTGTGATAACACTACTGCTATCTATATTTTTAAGAATCCAATTCAAAACACAAATATGAAGCATATAGATATTTGTCATAGTTTCATTATAGTCCTTAAAGTTAATGTTGATTTAAAACTACAAAATGTAGCTACTAAAATTTTACAAACAGACTTCTTTATAAGACCTCTAAGCTATGTGACTTTTAATGCACTTAGGATCCTATTATTGATGTCAATGCTTAAGGTTGACGAGTTAATAACATAGAAGAAGTCAATCATTATTTTTTTATGTTTTTTATTTCCTTTGCTGATTGTTTGTATTTGGTTAAGCGTGTTACTAACATGATTATATGTGTATTTTATTATAAAGTTCACTAATTGTATTTTTCATAGCCATCATAGAAAACAAAAAATTTTCTCACATCGTACTGTATAATCTTAATAAATTTTCACATCGCTAGTGCATAGTATACTACAGGGCTCTGATTGAATAAATTATTAGTGAGCGTACCATAAAAATAACTAATTCATATTCTATGATACACATGGCACACACAATTTGGCTGATTTGATATTTAGAACCTATTATACTATAAAACACTTATTTGTATTATAAGATTAAGTAGTGAAAGATTATATTGGCTGACTCCTTGGGATGATAGATTTATCAAAGATCATCTAATATGACTCTGATTGAGATATACAACTTGATGAATAAACTTCTTATGATTATACTATACGATCCATTTCATACAATATGATCATCCTGAATACTATATAAGAATAGGGAATTGTAAAGATTTGAATCACAAAATTTAGTCCCCATCTATCTCTCTTAGCCTATTATACTTAATTTTCAAATAGTAAGAGGAAAGTTTTATAGGGAGCTTATAAGCGGATCTTTTATATGTCTTGTAGATCCTCAATTTCACAAACTTGCTACTAATGAAGAATCCTATAATAGGTATAAGTATGCAAGCATAACTCCATAAAAATTCATCAATTAGGAAGTATTTAACTTCTAGTATTAAACCTCTTTATAGGCACAACATTCCACTTTAACTTGACCTTAGTCCCCCATTTCAATTCTAAACAACTCTTAGATTTCTTTGATATCCTTTGAGTTAATAGTGAGGGCAAAGCACTTTAACCTTTTGTCTATAGAAAAGTTGTAGAGATCAACTATAAAGATTTCGATTAAATCCTACATCTCACTTTTAATGGCCTCAAAGCTCATTCTATAGAATTTATCCCAAACAATGACTAAACCCAAATAAACATTACCCTTTAGGATAATCTATTAAACTGTCATACTCCTTTTGTATGCACTATTGTTTAAGATGCATGTACAATCCTACATATCCTATGCCATACAATCGTTCCTAAGGCATGTGATAGGGTCAACATCACAACCTTTCTATCCCTCATCACATATTTCATTATATATGAAACTGATTTCAATTTAACAAACCTAATTATTTTTACATTGAAAAATTTATGAGCATTAGAGATCCCAAAAATTAAATATAAGTAAAACCTAACACTATGACACATTATTGCCTTTGTCCTTAAATAAAAATATACTCGATGATATCCTATAACACCCGATCACATCATAGACTTCTACTCCAATAGCTATTTTTACATCCTCTATAGTGATAAATGTTGACATGGTCATCTTGTCATGGATCCTGAGCTATAGCAGGCACGAGTAGTTCCAGCACATGGCCCAGTGCTAGCCCAAGCACCAGCTGCCACTCACGACTCACATGACTATCACTCAATATTAGAGCTTCTTGAATGTATGTAACTATAATCATCCATGTTGTATCATAAGACTACTAAATATTGTGCTAGGCTTCACTACTAGAATAATCTTTTTAAATGTAGAATGAGCTACATCTGTAACAACACCTTTAGATTTAAACGATGCATCAACAACAACATTACCTACTCCAGTCGCATAGCCAATAGATCCAATAGTAATGCAGGGAAGATTGAGCCTAGTTTGTTTTTTTTTTTTTTTTTGGAAGAATGCAAAATGCATTAAAGAAGCGAAACCAAAGACCCTAGATACAAGCTATTGAGAGTTAACCACCAAATCACTTTCTTCCTTCACAAGATTTATAAAAGAAGGAAGTGTACTCTCACAAAATAAGTCCTAAATAAAATAATAAGAAAAATCTAAGTTACCATAATAATTAGCTAACTTATTATAATTCCTTCCAACATAATAAAAATAACATTAATCTAATAATTCAAGGACAAACAATCTGCTTCTTCAGTGCTTCCACTTAATTTCTTCTCTTTGTTGTACACCTTTTGAAGAACCTGGATCACATTTTTATTGTCTCCATCAATAATAATACCTTTAGCATTGTATAAACAATCATTCAACACTTTTAAGGAACTGAATAAAAGGAGCTCCAATTGTGTTATGTCCTAATGAACACCATAAAAGCTAATTGCTAGGATAAACCTTCCCTTATTGTCCCGTATAATGCCTCTGATTCCTGCTTCGTAATTACATTTAAGTGAAACATCAATATTTAATTTGTACCACTTGGGTGGAGGAGGATGCCAAAAATTAGAGAACAATCTAGTGGACTGACCAGCATCCCAGTAATTTGAAAGAACCTTGATCAGTTTATCAATGCTAACAAAGCTAACAACATTGGCAGCAATTATTGATTCACTGTCTTCTACCTTCACATGTTTAGACTTGTTCTTGTTGCTCCAAGAGTACCATAACATGGAGAAGTACATCTTCGCCATCAGTGAATTCATTCCAGACAATGATTTTAGCTCATCCATACATTGGTGAAAAGAATTGAATATTGGAATAAAAAAATCCCCATTTATCAATATGCTAATTACCTTTAACATCTTTGGGCAATTAGTGGTCACATGATCTACATCCTCAACCTCCCCACATCCTCTTGTACACATATTACTGATAGCCAGCTTACTCTTCATCAAATAATCTTTTGTAGGTACAGCATCTTTGCACATTCTCCATATGAACAACTCCACCCGAGCATTCAAGTTCACCTTGTCAATCCATGAAGTAGGATCCACAACTGCTACCTCCTTTAAAAATTCCTCCCTCAACATAGCCGAAAAAGACTTTCCAAACAATTTTTTTTTTTGGCTCCATGAAGTCCATATCTTACTCTTTGCAAATTGGAATATTGCTAATCAAAACTATTAGGTCCTTTCCAAAAAATAGAAGCAATTTATCAATATTCCATCTACCATCTTGAATGAAGAAGTCATGTGTTGTATTATCATCCTCTAAGTTAGCAAAAAAAGTGGGCCATTTGAGAAAATTTTTATCCATGATCCAAAAATCATTCAATACATTTATATTTGTACCCACCACCACTTTCCACCTAACAAAACTTTTATGAGCCTTCCATCCACTAGCTATGATCTTCCATGCTTAAGAACCACCCTTCAATGCTTCGTTCCTCCACCAATCATTACCATTTTTGGCCAATAAAATTTTGCTTAACAAAGAATTTGGATTCACCATTAAATTCTATGCAAACGTTTCCCTCAGTGGTTCCAAGCTGGACACATTTGGCTGTAAACCCCATCCAGCCACTGCTCTCGGTTTACACAGCATTTTCCAAGCCACATAATGCATCACATGGCTTCCATCATACTTATTCCAAATAAAATTCCAACATAGTTTCTCAAATTCCTTCAATTTGCTCAAAGGAACAAGGGAATGAGACATTAGGAATAAGGGAAGATTACTAAAAACCTTCTTTACCAAAACCAATCTTCTAACAAGGGAAATGTATCTATTTCCCCAAGCATTTAATATCTTCAAAAATTTATCCAAAAGAATTTGGAAATTAGCTTTCCTCAATCTCCTTAGAGAAACCTTGGTTCCGAAATAGTCCATTTCTTCATCCATCATAATCCCCATGATCTTTGTAATCCTTTTCTTCCTTATCCTCTCAACTGTTTTACCAAAATCATAGCAGATTTTCGAGGATTCAATCTCTGACCAGTCCAACCATAATAATCACCTAAATTCTCATCTCTATTTTGTCATTTTAAGAGTCCAATGCTCATCTAAATCTAATAAAGAAAGCTCATTTTTAATATTTTCTAACCAAGTCTTTTTAGGTCTACCTCTACCTTTCTTAACATAAGTCAAATATACCACCTCAAATTTCCTAATCAGATCATCAAATGACTCCGTTTAATGTGACAAAACCATTTAAGGTGACTCTCTCTAATCTTATCTTCTACTGGAGCTACTCCAACCTTTTCACATATATGCTCATTTCATATCCTATCTCTAAGGGTCAAGCCACTCATCCACCTAAGCAACCTCATCTCTGCAACACATTACTTAGTATTATGCTTCTTTTTTAATGAACGATTGAATTGTACATTAAAATTGAAATTAATTCTAATCATACATTAAATGTTTTTTTACAGGAAAATTAAATGTTTTTTTTATGAAGATCGTTCAATACTATCTTACTAAATCGTGGATTAATTAAAGTATTTTATTAAGATAATTGAAATTAATACTAATCATAATGTATGAACCAAATTGTACAGGATGACAAGTTAAACTCATAAATCCTACCACCAATCACAAAATAAGAAAAATTTTAAAATTAAGAAATTTAACAATTCATATAATACGATTACCATCATAAAGTATGATTATATTAAATCTTGCCTAATATGATCATATAACTAGGAAATCAAATCAATATTATTTATACTTCATATCATATTGAATGATGTCTTTAATGAGATCGAATTACCCAATAAACTTCAAGAATGATATTTAATTGTAGCTAAGTGTTCTAGAAAAAAATCTTACATGATTGAACCAATCATACAATACCACCCTTAATATCATACTAGACAGTTAGTTTGAGTATTTAAACATATCGTACAAACCCTTATTCATCCTATAATACTAATAGGATGAATTAAATGAATCATACTATGCGATACCCATTTCGTATCGTATGATTTGAAATAGGAGTATTATAAATTTTGGATTTTTAGAAAGCCTTGTAATTAATATCTCATTTTGAATTTGAAAACATCTTTTGATATTGAGAGATTTTTTCTTAAAGTGCTTTGAGAGATTATTCTCTTATGAGATATTGGAGGTTATAAAAGGAGAACGAGAAATTATTTGTGAGAGAAGAGTAGCATAGGGGTTATCATGTTGTTTTTCTGAGCAAGCTTATAACTTAGTTCCTCCATGTATTTTTTTTAATCTTGCAATGTGCTATGGGCAGAAAGCTATCAAGGTAGAAGATCTTCTAGGATCCTACCTCACAGGGGGGTTAAAAAAGATTCCATGTACTCTATCTCATAAGGGAGGGTGAAAAGATTTTGGTACTCTACCACAACGGGTTGGTGGAAGAGATTTTGTAAGAGCTTCTCTACCATTATATGGTGAATAAAAGAGAGACACTAAAATTTTTAGTGTAATATCATTATTGGAGCAGTTTTAAGAGTGGTTGTAGGCTAATGTTTAACCAAACCATAATAAATCCTAGTGTACTCGTCTAACTCTTCTTTCTTCATTTTATTTTTTAGGATTTTAATTTTACTTCCATGTTATAATCATGAAAGATATGTTGAGATTGTTGAGCTTTATTTTCATTTCAACATTTTTAGAAAAATAAAAATAAATTTATCTTCACATTTAATTTTCTAAGAAATTCCATTAGAGAAAAAAAATTATTTTAATTAATTTCTTTCATTGAAGTTTGTGTAATTAGTTTTAAGATCTCAAAAGGAATTTTTGAGAGAAAAATTTATTAAACACCAATTCCACCCCCCCCCCCATCATTAAACTTTCAATTAGTATTAGAGGAGGTTCTCTTTAATTATTGGTTTAAAAAGCCTGAGTAAATTTAATAGCCAATTATAATTGTAATCACATCGCAACTGAACAATATTCAATTCCACATCCACCTATATTTGATTTTACTCCGTATTATTTCTAGATAGTTTACATATCTACATTTATTCAGTATACTGATTGTCACATGTGTCATATGATTCTAGTAGGATATGTATATCCATCTCATTTTACTAATGGTATAAAGGAAGAAATTCCATTTAATGTATGTAGTTTTGAGGAAAGAGAATATGCACAACTCAATGTAAAATGCTTTAATTTTTTTTTTTTTGCTCTAAAGTCTAAGGACTATATGCACGTCTCATCATACACAATTAGGAAGGAAACTAGAATAGGCTTAATCTCACTTATGAAGTAACAAATGAAGCTAAATAGTCCTATCTAAATACATTTTTGCATTAATATGATTTAATCCACATGACATATAATGACACAAAAACTTACATGTAAACAAAGTTTATTAAGATTGTAACATCATTGCATGCACTTGGTAGAGAGTTATCCAATTATAAAAAAATAAATAAAATTTTTGAGTTATTTACCTCATTGTTATAATGGTAAGGTTACTTTTATCTCTGAGTCAAAAGATTGGAGCACACACTTTATTGATAATCTATATATCTCACTCATTACCTATGAGTAAACTGTGAATAAAACAACAAGATATAGGTGACATGAAAAAGGAGAGGACAATGGCATTGAAGGCCAATGACTATGGTAACAATTGCTCTAAAGCTAAGGATGATGACGATGATGTGGTATTAATGACTCAATAATTTAAAATCTTTCTAATGTGAAATTAGAGACATCATCAACATTGGATTAAATCTTAACAAGGTAGAACAACAAATGTTTTTTCTAACAATATCTATTTTAAATGCAAAAGCAAGGAATCTTAGGATCTAATTGCTCCAACCTAAAAAATCATCCTTCCAAAGAAAGGGGTGAAGATAAGGTAAGTTAAAAAATGGGGAAGCAAAAGATACATAAGGCTTTCTAAGAAGAATCATCTTTAGACTCCTTAGACTAAGAACAAGAGCAAATGGTAAAAAATTTATGCTTGACATAGATGTGTTGCAACTATGACCAGGATGAGGTATGTGAGCTAACCTACATTTAAAAAATTTTTATTTCTAAGCAAATTTTTTATTCTTATAAAAAATTGAAATAGAAGCATACATGATTGAAAAACGAGTTTTCTAATTTGAAATGTGGGCATGAATTGTTAACTATAAGTCATGATGATCTTAATTTAGACATATTTCAATAAACAAAAGGACTTGCTTCTGTACCTAAAGCATTTGATGAATTAAATAAGAGAGATATTAAATTAAGTAAATCACATGAATCCTTAAGATTTGAGCATATTTAATTAGAAAAAACATCTTAAGAACTATAGGCAATTAGAATGGAACTGCTCTTTAGTGATCATGCATTATTGTTTTAAATTTTGAGTTATAGGAGTGTAAATAATATACTAAAAAGAAAGTGTTTGCACAGCTAAAGAATACACCACTTCTTGTGTTAATACAAAGCCTCAATCTACACTAACATGAAAGGTATCCACCAAGACAAAAGTTCAAAAAAGATATTACGCCTAAGTGAACTTATTCCTAGGAACCCCAAGATTGGTGTTTATTAGTAAATTTAAAAAATAACTACTTAATTATCACTTGGTATGTAAGCAAGACAAATTGATCAAAGTATTAAAATATTAATGATGAAATTCTAATTAATTGAGATAGGATTTTAGTACAATTTTCACCAAGCAGTTACAAAAAAAATTAATGTGCAAAAAGTAAAATGAAAAAAATGAAATCAAAACAAAAGTACTAGAGATTTATAATGGTTTGGTAAAAAAATAACCTATGTCCACTCCGAAGAGTCCTCCACTCCTTTTTCCCCCACAACAAGGTGGAGAAGATCTTACATAAATCCCTTCCACCAAACCCGATATGAGATGGAGCTGGAAGTTTTATCACCCTCCAAGTGATGGCAGTGAATCTTTAATATTTTCCTCCCTCCTATAGAAGGAAGAGTACCTTGTAGTCCATTCTCACCATCATGCTGATGGAAGAGAACCACATCCTTGAGCTAAAGAATTTCTTATCAGAGCCACACAAAAAACCTAGATAGAATTTCTAGGAATAAGGAAATGCACTTGCTTGGAGCAACTGTGTGATCCCCTCACACTAAA